ACATCGGCCAAACTAAAGCTAACATTGTTCAAAAATAAGAAGGAAAAGTACAAAACAAAGAAGAAATATCCTAAGCGTTAGGATTGGTCTGGGATTGCTCAACCTCGGCTGAGAGAGTCTTCTCGGCCTCGGTTGGCAGCATTGCATTTTTTTTCGCCGCTACTTTGGCATCTAGTTCGAGCAGAGTCTGGTCCAAACTCCTTTCGGCACACTAGACCTCGACCTCAGAGGTGGTTGGTTTGGGAGAGACACCCTTGGAAACCAAATCATCCTCTTCATTTTGAGTCAAGTCCAGGACTTGCTCATTTAGGGTGGAGGACTTGGTATCAGTGGCAGATTCCTCATTCTCTTTATCGATATCACCATCCTCGGCATTATCATCGTTGACGTCTTCACCAGAGTCCTTGGGCTTTGGAGGGAAAGGCACTTGAAGTTGATTGATGTCTTGGAGGTCGGAGCCCATTGGGACAGATAACTTGTTGAGCGTCGCAGTCCAACCAAGGTAATAACCTCGGTTGCAAGCCAAGTTGACTTGCCCTTTGTATTGATCTCAGACGGCGGCTTGCCCTTTTTCAAAAGCTTTCTCATTGGCCGCCTTGACCTCGGCCTCCTTTGAGTCAAGGGCCTCTTGAAGCTTAGTCTCTAAATCAACTGCCTTGGTCTTGGCAGCCTCAAGATCGGCTCTGGCAGCCTCGGCTTCAGCATTGACTTTTTTTGCTTTTTTCTCAGCCAAATCTTGAGTAGCTTTGGAAGCCTTTACTTGATCCAGCAAGGCTCGATTATTGGCCTCAGTATGATTGAGTGAGGAGAGGAGCTTGGCAGCTTCTTTAGTCTTCTTTGCCAGCTCTTTCCTTGTCATCTCAGTCTTGACCACATATAAATGAGCATGCTGGATGGCCTGCAAGAAGTAAAATAGATTAGTGAAATTTGATTAAGTATAGAAAGATTACAAAAGAGTAAGAAAGAGACTTACCAAGACCGAGTGTTGCATCATAAGTGCAAAGTTTTAATATTCATGCAGTTCGGCCATACGGTTCATAGCTTATGGTAAAAGAACAGCCGTTGATAGGGTTGCACTGACTTCAAGATTCATTGCGTTGTCGCTGGCTATCAGGGGTCTGTCATCCACCATGACCTCGGGAGCTCAGGTCATATTACGAGGGAAGCTGTGGCTACCCTCAGGTTGATCAGACCTCGGCCTTTTGGGTGGTTGGGAATCGGATGCATTGATCTCGGCTGGCCTTTTCTCCGCGACCGTTTGACTCTTCTCTACCTCGGCCAATTTTGAAATTGGCAAAGTGTCTTCAGAGTCAATCTGAGTCAATGTGGCCTTGGCCTTGGCCTTCTTCAATCTTTTGGCTTTGGCTTTGGCTTTGTTTGGGATGGAGAAGGTGAGGATTGCACCATCACAACCCCGGGGATATTGGTGAGGAGATCCTCAACGATGGCTGGTTTATAGCCCATTTTGTCGGCTGTAGAAGCAATTGTTACTTTGGTGCCAAAGTGTATTGCCAGAAGGGCAGTTGGAGGATTGGCTGGGTCATAAACCGATGCCTCAAAATATCGGCATTTGCGGCTGCGAGTTCTTCTTACAAGGGTAGAGATTGGAGCTCGGTGTCGGCGTTGGCGCTGGGCTGGAGGAATAAGTTGAGGGGCAGAAGTAGATGGTTGCTCAGCTAGGTTAGAAGTGAAGGCCTGATCTGGCCTTGGAGATGAAGTTGTTGGTCGAGTTGTAGCAGAATGAGGGGTCTTACTTCGGCATGAAACGTTGAGCAAGACCGACTTGTATGTTGGTATGTAGTTTAGTAGAAGAGGCGCCTTGCGCTTCTGCACAGGGAAATCTAATAGCCTCTTTAGATCTTGGCTGGGAACGAATGATTGCTGAAATCCCTTCGTCAGCTGAGGAAGAGTTGCAAAAAACAGAAAGCAAACATTAGAAGAGGTGAATAAACAAGAAAGCCATAACCAAAATGGAATTTCAGTGCGAATGACTAAGTCTTACCATTACCCTCTTTAAAAACTGTTCGGCTCAGATGAAAGAGGTTGAGGTCGTCAGCCGGTGAAAACTCCTAGTTGCCCGAGAAGATAAAATAATCATCTCCAGCACCCTTATTGGGGTCTGGGAAGTCGGCTATTAGTTTGAAGGCGATGGATCTGGGCTTGAGGTAGTATATGTAGCCTTTTTCGGACTTGAGGCCACACATGGTATAGCAGAATTGGATGTCGGCTAAAGTGATCCTAGCATTTTCTCGGTGTGCTAGTTCAATTATGTCATTAATAACCCGATATGAGTTTATGACAAGTTGCATGGGGTTAAGTTTGCAGTAATAGATGATTTCTCGAAAGAGAGTATCAAGGGGAAATCGAAGTCCACATTCGATGAATGCAACAATGGGAAAGGGCATGGAGCCTCCGTTAGGCATGATGGAATCCACCTCCCCAGCCAACCTCAAGTGGACATCGGCTGGGATGGAGAACTCTCGACGAAAATACTCTATTTTTTCTGGGGCATCTACTCTGTACCTGAACATATCCATGATGTCGGCTAATGAAGATTAGGATAAAATTTCAGAAAGGAATGTTTGGTATGGGTTTAAAGACCTCGGTTAAACCCTAATCTGGCAGCTTTTAGGGTTTTTTCAGATCTAAGGGGGATATTGCTTCAGTTTTTCTTTAAGTATGTGATTTCTTTATCAAATCCCAAGCCTAAATCTATATGGAAACAACAATCAATGGCAAGAATTTGGAAACAAGTCAAAGAAAAACAAAAAAAGGGCAAGATTTAGAGTCAAGAAAGCAACATTTTTTTAAGAAACACTGAGTGGGTGTGTGCGGATGTGCAAAGGACCAAGAGCAGTGACAAAGTTTGTTAAAACTTCAAATTTGTGAACCATATGAAGCGTGTGTGCAAGAATCACGAATAAGTGTGTACAAATACAAGTATATATTGAAACAGTAACGAATCATAAGCCAATGCAATAACAAAGCTTAAGGAATGACAAAAGTACAAAGAGACGGGAAACTGATTCATAATCAAAGAAGAAACAGAGTATAACCACAGCAATAGAATAGTCATAAGGCAAAGAAGGAACATATTCAGACTACTGGAAAGCTGAAAAGAAAGAAATTGAGAACTTACCAAATAAGGCCGAGGAACCGTGGTCGGAGTAATGATCACCAGAGTAAGATGGCAGTAAATACTGGAGCGAAACAGTGAAAAGAATGCCGGAGGAGACGGTCGGAGAAGTTACAGAAAGCTCGAAGAAGCGGCAATGGTGGTTTGAGGGTTTCTCTGTGCTTTAGAGAGAGAAAACTTGACCAAAAACGAAGGCATGAAAAGTGAAAAGACAAAGAGAGAGAGAGAAATTGTTTTTGTTAAAAATTCGAAAGGGTGGCAAACCATAATGGAATGCCTTGGATGACGTGTTTGTTAGGTGGCGTACGCAGAAACGACTCGACCTGATGGCACGTGTCAGGTATGAACTAATGGGAGAAGGACACGTGGCGGAAACGGTTGAGAAAACCGTGCATGACAGCTCATACGCAGACAAAACTCTTGGGGTTCTGGATTTAATGAAGCAAAAACCTTGGCTAGGGAAGCGACCTCGGTTAAGGAACTTGAAGAACTTGGTTCTTGATTCTTGGTCATTGATAAAGTAGACTGCAGAGTCTTGGTCATGTGAAGCCGACGGCCGATGATCTCGGTCATGAAAGATAGAGTAAGTCTTAGCCAACCTGCTATGTGAACAAACGATGTAGGTTCCATCACCTCATAATGCCGAGGTAATAGAACGTAGGGGGCAGTTGTGGAGACGTATTTTGTGAAATAACAACACGTGGCAAGGTGATGCCGGAGTGTCAGTCGAGGTACCACGTGTCTTGGTCATGGCGCTGAGGTGATCTCGGCTAGGCCGAGGTTATCTGCGGAGATATCAGAATCTGAGATGAGCGGATAGGGGACAGGAGTCCTAGAATTGGAGAGGACCTCAGTCTGGATAAAGATAAAGTTCATAGAGAGTTTATATCTATTTAGCTGGGAGTCCAAGATAAGTATTGAGCCAAAGTCCATTGCAGCTAGACTTCTACAGAGATCAGGTTAGTGCTGGCTATAAAAGTAGGGCACCATCGTAGGTCTGAGGTATGCTTTTTATGCTCTGTCTAACGAGTTAAGCACTATTGGTTATCTTTGAGAGATAGTGATTACTGACTTAATCGTTGGAGTGTCCCGGGTGGACAAACCACCGCCGAATTCTTATATTTCTGTGACAGGTTGTTCAGACTTAATCTACTTTCCCGGTGCTCTCCAGTTGAGTTTTCCCTCTTGATTGTGTGGTCAAAAATCAACACTTACACTATATGTTTTATTTTAAAAATAATTTTTGAAATATAAATTTTGAACGGATAACATTTTCCCGAGGAAAATGAGAAAAAATGAGGCTGGCTGCAGAAGACTTTTGATGGGAATAGAGTGGAAGTCGGGTTTGTTTGTTGTGTAGAATAAGGTGAGAATTGAAGACCTTGATGGGGACAAGAGTGGGATTGTGCGTTGGTGATGTGAAGTTTGGAATTTTCGTTGCACACTTATCATTCGCTCATTGGACTACTATCTTAGTCAAGCCTCTGAGTTAAAATTTTCAATTTATTGGGTTATAATTAGCAAACGTATCAAATTTGAGGTTATATAATAAATTGTTGACTCCCATGAACTAAACACGTATAAATATAGTGAAGATCATATTAATGAAGAATTTAAAGATTTTGTGATTAAATTTATCAAAATGAAGAACTCAGTCAAAGATTAGAAGGCTCCATTTTAATAGTTCGTTTTGGGCATTAAAAATGTGTGATGGGTCATTTAAGTATTATAATTAGAGTTGTGTTTCTTTGAATTTAAGAAAATTTAAGGGGCCCATAAAGCGCTTAAGAAAATTTCAATATATGTACAAAAAAAAATGACATTGTGTAACTATTGTAATTAAAATCACAAAAAATTAAATATATTTGACTGTGAATAATGAACTTGATTGTATTATCAAACACACTGTTACAAGATACACATAAATGACATACTTGAAAGTGACATGCTTGAAGGGAATGAATAATCAATCACACTATTACATATTTAATTTCTAATTACGTTTTTTAGTGTTCTAAATCTTACAAATATTGAAATATATTTTTTGTATTTGAGTTTGAGTGTATTTCTTTTACAAAATAAAGTTATCATTGAATCTTCATATGGCCGACTTCACATTATCTGGGATATAATTCAGTAATTGATATTTCATTCACAGACCATGATATTGGCTTGCTTGTAGATTGATCCGATTCTAAGTCTTGTCTTGTTTTTTGCTTTGTTCTACTACAAGCAAAGAATGCAGGTTGTTGAGGAATTGACAGATTAACTGAGTAACTGTTAAGCATTACAACAATCGCTGCCATAGAAGGTCTAGCATCTGGATCTTCTTGGACGCACAACAAGCCAATATGAATGCATCTAATGACTTCATTTATTGAATATGACCCTTCCAAAGTAGAATCCATTAGTTCCAATGGTTTTTCCTCCCTCCAGAGTTTCCAAGCCTACAACAATTCATTATTTATGACTTTGTAGATATGATGATTTTTATTGAGATCGAAAATAATAGTTATAAAATTTAATTATCACTCACATAGCTTAGAAGGTTCTCCGCACATTCTGATTGGTAAAAGGTATTATTTTTCTTGCCACTTATAATCTCCAAAACTAAGACACCAAAGCTAAACACATCAGACTTCACCGAAAATTTTCCACGCATTGCATATTCTGGAGACATATAACCACTGCAAGCCAACACTATTGTTTTAGCAACAAAAAAGTAGTAATCATAAGAAAAGAAGAAATTGCATCTAATGTCTTTTCTTTTCTTTTTTTATTTTCCTGTGTGTGAAAAAAATCAGATATGAAACCATTGAGAGTAGTAAGCACAACAATTTAACTCAGAAAAAAATGCATGCTTTCCATGAGATTGCATAAAGATTGTACTCACTATTTCAAATTTGAGAAGAACATATATAAATTGCATGAGGGGACACAAAACTTACTATGTTCCAACAACTCGGTTTGTATTTCCTTGAGTTTGATCCACTCCAAAGATCCTAGCCATGCCAAAATCTGAAATTTTTGCGTTCATATCCCCATCTAATAGAACATTGCTAACTTTGAGATCACGGTGTATAATTTTAAGTCGAGAATCTTCATGAAGATAAAGCATCCCTCGAGCTATTCCTCCAATAATCTTGTAACGTTTTGACCAATCCAACTTTTCTTGTTCTTGTGGATCTGCACATTGAGCAGAAAAACAGGGGGAAAAAAAATGTTCTAAGTTAACAATAATGAATTAAATGTGAGCATGATGTGAACATTTTGGAATGGAACTATAAGCACTAGAATGCAATTTGTAGAATGTGCACTCATGGCTTTCATGTGTTATTATCTAGCTAAATAAAAGTATTATTAAGAAGCTTTGGCAAACCAAATAGAAAGTAATCCAGGCTTTTGTTGGGCACAAATTCATAAATGAGTATCTTCTCTTCTCCTTCCAAGCAAAATCCGAGTACCCTCACTAGATTTCTATGTTGAAGCTTGGCTACCAACACAGCCTCATTCTTGAACTCTTCAGCACCTTGTCCTGACTTTCGAGATAGCCTCTTCACAGCTATCTCTTGTCCATTGGTAAGTATACCCTGAAACACACATAATTCATCCAAATTTTGGATCCAAATTTGTGCAACTTCTAATATTCTTGGTTGATTTTATTTTATAACTAGATCCAACACCTTACCTTGTAGACGGATCCAAATCCACCTTGACCAATTTTGTTATGATCAGAGAAGTTGTTTGTGGCGACTTGAATTGTAGCCAAATCAAATTGCAAGGATTGTACTGATGTAATTTCATTCCCAACTGGACACAACAAAAAACTAAATGTAATGAATTTGGAAAAAAAAAATGAAAAAAAGAAGAGAAGATAGGAAACAAGTTTTTATTTTTATATTTTTAGTCATACCAATATCTGATTCAACAGCATCATGTTTCTTCTTCCCTCTCCTAAATATGAAACAGAATCCTATAATGATAAGCAAAACAGAGCCCCCAATTGAAACAATGATGGCGACAAGTACTTGCGATGAGATTCCTCCCTTTCCTGCATCAACAAGAAAATTTAATTTCAAAATCCATCTATCCAAACAGAGTCTACATGTCTTGTTTGGAATTTACCTAGACTGCTTGCAGCGGGAGGAGGAGGAGGGGGAAGAAGGACTGGTGGAGGAGGTGCTGGTGCAGTGCCGGCGGCGTTGTAAAACCGGTACAACTCATACCGAGCATTACAACTTGGAAACAAAATTCTCGCACCTTGCTTTCCATCACAGCAACTCGGAAAATTTGAGATACATTCCCAAAGACATTTATTACATTCCATAGCATTCAAGTCCGGTGTGCATTGCGCGAGGCCATACACCTTTTGAAGCGACGTGAAATTAGCTTCGCTTGTCGCGAATTTCTTACCCGACACACCATTTGAAGCCCGTGTTGCTATGTCATGCATTATGATTCCCAAGACATCATCAAACCTGTTTGGATCAGTTACCTTCTGGGTATTGTCTGAGATAAATATAACAGATTCATCAGCAATAGAGAAGATAGATTGGTTCGAGTATCGCAACATGCACACATCGTACCAAATTATGACATCTTTTGACTTGGGACACTTTTTTACTACTTCTTTAGTAGCAGTGGATACACAGTCCTGACAAACGTCGGTGGAAACATCGCCGCGGCAGAGGAAGAGGCCATAGGCTATGTCGGGGGGGCTAAGGCCGGCGGTGGAGTTGGAGAAGCCATTGGTGGTGGTGGTGGAATTGGAGGAGAGGGAAGAGAAGAGGGTGTCGAGGTTGGATTGGTATGTGCTGTTGGGTGTGTAAGTCGTTGTGTTTGGGCACATAAGATCAAAAAAAGTTGGGGTTGCTTTGGTTCTGAGGCTGAGGAAGCAAATTAGAACGCAGAAAAACAAAAGGGATGCGGAGATATTGGAGGATGAGTTCATGGTGATCAAGCTCTGCATTTCAGAGCCCCCCTGTGCATAAAAATCAGATTCAGATATCTTGAGGAAATTAGGTAGGTGAGAATGGAAAATATTGTCATACCGATTGTAAAGATAAGGTATTCGGTGGTTCGGCGCCACTGCCTAGTTAATAGGTTCGATCAATTATGGTCGATGTTTTTGTTTGGTTCAAAATGATTTTTTTGAAAAATAAATTTTTTATTTTTCGTATTTTTTTCTTAATTTTTTATTTTTTAGATTTACCTAAACTAGATGCATTTAAAAAATATTTGTAAGTATTTTTTGACAAATATTTTATTGGATAAATTATCAATAAGTTTTAATAGTCAGATTTAATTTTCATTAAGTTCTATTGAAAGTCAGTCATCAGATTCAGATATTTTGAGGAAATTAGGTAGGTGAGAATGGAAAATATTGTCATACCGATTGTAAAGATAAGGTATTCGGTGGTTCGGCGCCACTGCCTAGTTAATAGGTTCGATCAATTATGGTCGATGTTTTTGTTTGGTTCAAAATGATTTTTTTGAAAAATAAATTTTTTATTTTTCGTATTTTTTTCTTAATTTTTAATTTTTTAGATTTACCTAAACTAGATGCATTTAAAAAATATTTGTAAGTATTTTTTGACAAATATTTTATTGGATAAATTATCAATAAGTCTTAATAGTCAGATTTAATTTTCATTAAGTTCTATGGAAAGTCAGTCCTAATAAAATTATAACTAAAAACAATTTTTTGTGACGCTTTATTACATATGTTTCTAAAAATTAATAATTAGTGACTTTTTTTTTTCTTTCATGATTATTATTAATTATTACTAAAATTTATAATTAGTGAAATTTTCACATGACAAAATTTTCAAATTATTACTGAAAGTTAAAAATTAGTGACTTTTTGGTGATAATTTTTTAAATTGTTGCTAAAACATCTAATAAGTGACTTTTTTTATAACAAAATTTTCAAATTGTCGTTAAAAATTAACAATTAGTGAGTTTTTTTAATAGTGTTTGATGTAAAATGTCATTAATAACCGTAGGACCTATTGGACAATAATCTACCTATGAAGACCTACATGTGAGTCTCCTTATTTTATTTTATATGTGTATTTAAATTAGGTACATCTAAACAATAAAAAAAAATTCTTACAATATTAAAAAAGTTCACTAAAAATAAAATGAAAAATAAAATACTCAATTTTTAGAAAAGTGAAATAAACCAAACAAGGTGAGATCCTAGATTCTATTTGGTTTGATTTTTTAGAAATTGTTTTTAAGCAAGTTTTCATTTGTCTTTAGTAATTTTTTTTTTCTTCATGTTTTAGACATTTATTTTTTAAAACTTTTTGGATGCACCTAATTTTCATTTCTCTAAAAATAAAAAATGTAAAAAGAAAAAAGGAACTAAAATATAAATTTATTTTTTTACTAAAGACGAATGAAAACTCAAACAAAATTAGATGTATATAAAACGTAAAAACACTTTATGAAAAATCAAATCAAATAAAGTCTGAAAAAGTGGGTTCCAATCAATGAAATTGCAAGTAATTTAGTGAGTTAGAACTTCTCCCAGTTATTTAGTAAACTATTGTTATAAAATAATATGGAATTCAACTTTTAGTCTCCAATGGTTTGTTATTTGGCTTGCTATTTTTTTAGCAAAGCTATGCCTGGTGTCAAATTTGACACTTGCGTTTGGATTGATGGCGTAGGAGAGGAAGTGTAGGATTTGGAGGGATAAAATTAATTAAAATTATTTTTGAATTTTTTTAAGGGAAGGAAAGGAAAGTGCATGGAGAGTTATGAGGGAGGGAAAGAGAGAAAACATTTCAAGCACTCCACTTTACCTTTGAAATTGAGAAGAAACGGGAACTAAGTAAAATGTTTCTCATAATAATATGTTAAAATATCTAAATTAAGAATATCTCTCCTTAATTAAGTATTAAATCAAACAACAAGGGGATACTTTCTCCATCTCCTTCTCCTTCTTTTTCTCCTTCATTTTTACTTCCCCTCAGATCATTTCCAATCCTTCGTCTTTCGTTTCATCAAAATTAAATTTGATGAAAAATCGTACAAAACTAGTACTCCAACACTTCATCTTTTGTTTCATCAAATTGAAAATATCTCAAAATTTTCATTAAATTGAGGATGGTAGAACCTTTCACCAAATTACTATAGAGAGTCGTTAGTTCTTGAGTACCGGACAACCAGCCAGATGTCCCCCCAATTGACCACCTCTTTGCAAAATTTTTTGAAAAATTTATACTCACCGGTTGATTAGCCGGTCGTCCCTTCGGTTGACCGGTGGTTTGATAAAATCCCAAACACTCTGTTGGAACGCACAATATCAGATTAAATTTTTTTTTTTTTTTTTGGTTTCAATTTTAAGTGAAATTTGATGAAAAAATTGAGTAAAGCATTGGCGATGCTCTCACAAATAACTCTTCCCTTCACCCCATCTTTCCTCAATACAACCAGATTTGGTTTATTTTTTTATTTTTATTTTTATTTTTGTTTTTCTTATATATATATATATTTTTTTATTTTTAGTTAACTTCTACAATATTTTAGTCATTTTAAAAATTTTAAGAAAAAGTAAAATATTTATAAAAAAAAATCTATAAAAATATTTATTAAAAACAAAAAGTTATCAAAAATAGTTTTTAAATTTAAAGACAAGATTCCAAGAAAGTTGCTTAAATAATTGCGGTTGGTAAATAGTAAAATAGTAGATAGAATGATGGAGTGAAAATTCAGTGTGCTTGTATGAGCACGAAATAATCGTCACTTGTATAATCCTGTTGATCAAACTCGCGTTTCTTCAAACGTCGCCGTATGACCTGAAATTACAAACATGAGCTAGTCGGTAGGTGTGTGTCGGAAACCTCTTAGATGCCTAAGTCAGCAAACAAGACAAATAAGGAGGAAAAGCTTTATGAATTCGAGTACTGAAATTGCAATAGTTGGAATTAGGTTAGGCTTGAACTTTTATAAGGACTTTAATTCTTCTTCGTAGAGTCCTCATAGGAATCACATTTATAAATGATAACGTCTATCCTTTAACACTTTCCTCACTACAAACCAAGTGAGATGATACAACTCTTTGCACGGCTTCCAACCGACCAAACTTTCTGTTTTAGCCTTGCTAGGTCTTTGAGACAACTAAGCAACGTGTAGCACCACACAAACCCAGCGAGCTGGTATGCTAACACTTTGCGGCACTCCTAATAGCCTTGTTAACACCGCGCGTCCAACTACACTTGACCAGTCTTCTTATGGTAGTCTGGTCCGATACACCCTTCAGAGTACCACTGGAGGACAACTACACTAGCCCAACCTCAGCCCAAATCCTAAGTCCATTGAAGTGTAGCTCGGTCCACCCACATTCTGGACCTATTTTGCCCAATCAAACCAAACAACATTTTTGACCGGTTCGAACTTTGCGGGACCCAAACCATGCAATATTCCAATCCATAGCTCGATTGACCACAACGACTTGATTTAGCCCGGCCCAAATATCTCGGCACAAATTCCCCTCTCAGTCCTAATAAATGCAAAGGAACCATTGAAACAACATTACGGTATTAGAGCCATCTACAAAGTTAGAAATCATTGGAGATGATTTTAACTGACTATAATTAACCAAATTCATTAATAATGGAATAGTTCGAAACCAATAAAAATGGACTTTCTCAATGGAGTAATGAAATAGTTTCTAGGTACCGGGTTGAGAAAAACAGTAATGTTGCATCTCAAGAAAATATCATGAAATTATTTACAAAATTAAATTAATCGATCACATTTATTTTAAGTCCAGTCTATATTATATTCATTTTAAATTTATACTATATGTTTTATTTTTAAAATACTTTTTGAAATACAAATTTTGTATGGATAACATTTTTTTGGAGGAAAATGAGAAAAAAATGAGGCTGGCTGCTGAAGACTTTTGATGGGAATAGACGTGTAGAATAAGGTGAGAATTGAAGACTTTGATGGGGACACGAGTGGGATTCTGCGTTGGTGATGTGAAGTTTGGAATTTTCCTTGCACACCTATCATTCGCTCATTGGCCTATTATCTTAGTCAAGACTCTGAGCTAAAATTTTCAATTTGGCACACGTATCAAATTTGGGGTTATATAATAAATTGTTGACTCTCATGAACTGAACAGGTATAGATATAATGAAGATCAAATTAATGAAGAATTTAAAGATTTTGTGAGTAAATTTATCGAAATGAAGAACTCAGTCAAAGATTAAAAGGCACCATTTTAATAGTTCGTTTTGGGCATTAAAAATGCATAATAGGTCATTTAAGTATTATAATTATTTCTTTCAAATTTAAATATGAATTTAAAAAAATTTAAGAGGCCCATAAAGCCCTTAAGAAAATTTCAACATATGCAAAAAAAAATAAATAAATAAATAACATTGTGTAACTATTGTAATTAAAATCACAAAAATTAAATATATTTGACTATGAATAATGAACTTGATTGCATTATCAAGCACACTGTTACATGCTACACATAAATGACATACTTGAAGGGAATGAATTATCAAACACACTATTACATATTTAATTGCTAATTACATTTTTTGGTGTGCGGAATCTTACAAATATTGAAATATATCTTTTGTATTTGAGTTTGAGTTTATTCATTTCACAATGTAGAGTTATTATTGAATTTTGATATGGCCTAGACTTCACGTTATCTGGGATATAATTTAGTAATTGACGTTTCATTTACGGACCATGATATTGACTTGCTTGTAGATTGATCCAACTCTATACCTAGTCCTGTTTTTGACTCTGTTCTACTACGAGCAAAGAATGCAAGTTGTTGAGGAATTGATAGAGTAACAGAGTAACTGTTAAGCATTACAACAATCGTTGCTATAGAAGGTCTAGCATTTGGATCTTCTTGGACACACAATAAGCCAATACTTCATTCCTTGAATATGACCCTTCTAAAGTAGAATCCATTAATTCCAACAGTCTTTCCTCCCTCCAGAGTTTCCAAGCCTACAACAATTCATTATTTACGACTTTGTAGATATGATGATTTTTTCCTGAGATCGAAAATAATAGTCATAAAATTTAGTTA